GATCGACCACCGATTTGGTAATGGCGTCGTAATACAATGTAGCATCTGGTGGTAATACGGAGAACACTTTCCTGATGTTGCGCAGTCTCTGGGCGTCGAATTTATTGCTATCAGTTGATCAAGTGCTGCTAAGATAAGTTAAATACAATATGATAATACAATATGCTATTTATAATAGCAGGACCTCATGTCAGTTGATAATGTAATAGCACTGTAATTTAAATTTGGCAGATAAATATTTTAATATTCTTTGATAATTTTTTTTTCATTACAATTTTTATTTTTATTTATTTAAACAATTACTTTCTTCCATTTTTTTTAATGCGGCCCCGTGCAACGCAAGGGCACGGTTACTAGTTAATTCATAACAAGATTGACTTTAATTTATTTATTCTATATTCCATTTTTATTGTCACAAATCCTAAGTTACTTTAATTTTTTTATATAATAAAATATTCTCTCTGCTCCAAAATAATTAACGTTTTGGGTTATTGCATACATATTAAGAAAATGAATAAATATGTGTAGATTTTACGAAAAGACATATAATTGACTAAGACCCATGTAATTAATTCTCTCTCAATAAATTAAGAGTAATAAGGGCATAATTGAGAAAACAGTAATTAATGTATCATTGGAATTCTAAAGTGACAAATAATACTGAACAAGAAAAACTTCCCAAAGTGGCAGTCAATTTGGAACGAATGTAGTAGATTTTAAGACTTTTCTAATCAAATATTATTTGTTCGTATGAAAGATCTAATAATTCAAAATGGAAAATTTCCTCCTTTATGTTTTTCTCGTTAATAATCATCAATGGCATACTATACATAGTTCATAATTCATAAGAAATTCTATTCAAAAAAAATCATAAGAAATTCGCACATGATTCACACGTGATTGCACATAAATCGCACATGATTCGAATTGCGACAAAATCGTCAATTCATCGGTCAAAAATAACATATGTAAAGAAGTTAAATAAAGAATAATTCACAGAAATAGAAACTCATGGTAACATATTGTTTAGTTATAATGTCTAGATTTTAATATTTTTATTGAGTTTAGTGATTAAATAGTTTAAGTTTATAGTTCGTATATTTATAAGTCCTTAACACATGATTTTTTTTAATTTCTTATCCAATATTTATTAATTTATGAAGTATCTAAAACTATTTACCTTTTATCAGTCAAAAATGTAGATTTCATATATTAACTAAAATCATAGGAATCACGTGCACTGCACGTGTCACTTGCTGGTCCAAAAGAATGTCAACTTTAATATGATTTTGGAAAAACAAAAACAAAAATATTTAGAAGATCAATTTTCTCAAAATGAATTTGCACATAGTGAAAGTATGACCATAAAAGAGTATTTGTATGAACTTAAAAAAGTAGTTGTATTAACATAAAAAAAGTAGGTGTAAAATCAATTTTAATGTATGAACATAAAAAGTAGTTGCATGAACCAATTTTTGTGTATGAACATAAAAGATGAATCTTGCAAGTACTTGTATAGTTGTATGAACATAGAAAATGTCAATAAAAACTTAGAGAAAAAATAAATTTCTCAAAAACAAGTCCTCCATTGGCGAGAAACTTAGGCTATGTTTGTTATGGTTTTGGAAATATTTCACTATTTCCCCGAAATAAAATTCTTCACCACATCTCCTCCAATCATGTCTTCCAACAAAAGAGGCCGCACGGGCGAAACATCCACTTCGAAAAAGGGGAAGGGAAAGAGAGGATACACCAAGGTGTTGTTGGTTCCTCAACCCGATAAAGAGGCATTTAGCGTCAAAGGAGCCGCCAGACTATTCGAAAAACAAACAAAGAAGAATGTTATTACGGAACGAGCACTAACGATCACTCTACCACACTTTGCCAATCTTAATCAAGAAATCAACAAACAAAGGTGGCAAAAGTTGTGTGAACCGGAACCCATCGAGATATTTTAAAATAGTTTAAAAAAAATTCCCCACAAAAATTCAAATGTTTTTCTCTCTAACAAACATGATTTGACCGTTATAGTGAAAATTATTTTCACCAAAATCACTTTATCTTTCAATTTTTTCTTCAAAAATACATTTTCCAACACTTTTTAGACATGATCTGACTTGCTACAGTACAAATTGTCTCCTCTCAAAACACAAACAAACAAACGAAGGTGGCAAAAGTTGTGTGAACCGGAACCCATCGAGATATTTTAAAATATTTTCAAAAAATTTCCCCACAAAAATTCAAATGTTTTTGTCTCTAACAAACATGATTTGACCGCTATAGTGAAAATTATCTTCACTAAAATCACTTTATCTTTCAAATTCTTCTTCCAAAATACATTTTTCCAACACCTTTTAGATATGATCTGACTTGCTACAGTACAAATTGTCTCCTCTCAATTCACAAACAAACTTTATTTTATTTACAAATTCTTCTCCTAAAACATCTTTCTCCACAATAAAATGGAAACATAACCCCAAAAGCTTAACATTCTCAAGGAAACAATGGCAGATCAGCCTCGTCACCTGATTTCGGGCAAGACTTGGAAACGTTAAAATGTTCCATTTTAAAAAGTTCCATCTTGAGCAAAGCGGAGCTGAATAAGACACAAAGGAGTTTCGATTTAGTCTTTATTCCCTAATGCAAACCATTTTGAAAATTCCAATCAACTTATCGCAAGCACAACTGGTAATATTTGAAGACATTTTAATGTTCCAATTTTCGTAGGCAATTCTATTTGAGGAATGTGGAGATGTCTTAAGCTCATCATGTGTTCCAATGTATTTGGCAGCTTCTGCAAAGCATCACATGCTCTTAATATATGCAAGTAAGTTTACCAATAGAGGCTGTTGGACATATCAAATCACTTAGTTCTGAAAAATCAAGACATCTAAAATATAATAGTTCATTGATCGAACTTGGAAACTTTTCAACACAATCGTCCTCCAGAAGATAAATATGCATCGATTTGAAATTCAAGAACATGAGAACGCATGCTTTATCATTGGAGAATAATGAACGAAGACAATTCGCTTGTTCATTAAGACTTGCACACGATTGCAGGCGTATGTAACGAACTTGATCGCTTGAATTTAGCATTGAGGATGCTAGATCATGCACAAGATCATGCATGTTATAATTTATATTTTTTTCTAACAGCGACTTGTATATTGTAACAATAAATTCCCTAATAGACCATTAAATAACTTGTTGCCCAAAATATCTATATCATCATTTTTCCCAAGGCATCTCTCACCCATCCACAGTTCAACCAAGAGCTCCATTTCAAATTTACATTCGTTAGGATATATGGAACAATACGCAAAGCACTTTTTGAGTAACGGTGGCAACAAATGATCAAAACTCACTTTTAAAATCTTCGAGAAAAAAATTTGATATCGTAAACATAAGATTCATTCTTATAAATGGACTGCCACTTAGAAATCGACTTACCGCGTAACATCCTTTTGCAATAGATGCTCCTACAGTCTCAAACTCGAATGGAATACCATTTTCTCTTTCTCCAATGACTTTTGCTTTGATTATGGACCAACACTCATCTTCTGATAAGTTACTTAGTTTGTATACATGAAGGGTTTTCACCAGTGAAGCAACATTTTGATGAAATATAGTAACAATGATGCCATTTCCGGAAACAGAACTAACTTTTGCCAAGGAACTTATAAAATCATCCTATTTTTCATGATTGTCATTTCAAACATCGTCGAAGGACATGTAGAAATCATTGAGCTCCCAAATCCTTTTGAAGTTCTTCTACAATAGCTTGTTTATTTCCAAGGTCGACGGCCGTACTTCTTAACGATTGAAGAATGTTCTTGAAAAGAACCTTGGCATCAAATTTTTCAGAAACATAGACCCAAAAACGCTTAGCAAAATGACTATTTATGGCTTCTTGATGAAACACTTCCCGAGCAAACGTTGATTTCCCGAGTCCACCCATCCCGACAATGGGAAGGATAGAGAGTACCTGGTCACCATTTGGAAGAGCAGTCATCGTCTTCACTATTTCAGACACGTCATTTTCTCTCCCATAAAAAAATGGATCAATGTTGAATGCATCAGCTTCTCGATCTGCAGATGGACCCGATCTATCACCATGAACATGTCAATCAACCACTCCCCCTTCATGAAGATCGTAGTCTTTTTTGTATCTAGCAATTTCTTATTGATATCATTAACTTTGTGTGTCATTTGTAGCTAGATGGTGTGTACAGGGAAAGTATCGTGGGAAGAAACACGGTACCTTTTATGTCTTAATTTTCTTGGCCAGATTCTGATAGACAAGCTCATCCAACACATTATCGGCATCGAAACCCAAATCTTAGCTTCTTCAACTAGAAAGATATATATTAATCAACCACGGTATTAATCACCTGTAATATACTAAAATTGTAGTTGAATAATGAAATCAATTTCAAAAGTAACAAAAAACAATTGTAATGTTGTTAATGACACCCAACACGATCCAACCATTATCGGTCGAATAATGGTTGGCAATCGACTTTATCGGATAAGCAATTGGTCAGTTGTAGGTATTGTCGACCATTTATTTATTCTTTTTTTTTTTAATAATAGTAAGATGTTTTTAAAAGTTTTCTCAAAAGATATTTAAAATTTTGGGAAAACTTGTATTGCAACAATCTTAACTTCAAAATTAAGAGTTTTTTTTTTTAATTAAAAGAACTAGTATTTTTTTTCCGTGCAATGCACGGGATAACACTTTTAAAAGTGAAAAAATAATTAATTTAATGTGACAATAAAAATTATAATAAAAATACATTATACTATAATAACAAAATTTATTAATAATATTTAAATTACAGTAACAACATCAACATTCATACAAATTTAATAATACATTATAAACCTATTCAACAACAGATTATACAAACTCAATTTTCCTAATATGAAATTGATTATTAAATAAATGAATCTATTAATAAAGAAAAAAATTAAAAAATTTCGTAGAGAAAAAAAATCTTCGGTTTCCGACAGGTTTCATGGATTTTCGGTTTCCGAACGTTTCCGAAACGTGGAAACGCGTGTGGGTTGAAGTTTCCGTGCATCACCGATATACCCGACCAACCGACTTTTGAGTAAATTGAAATCTACCAACTGATCCATTTATATATTGATCGATTAAAATTATCTGCCCAACAACAAAGTTTCCGCTGAAAAAACTATGGGCCGATAAAAGCGGATCGAAAGTGGGTCGGTAGCGGATCACACCGACCATGCCCAGCCCTACTTGAAAATTGAAATTATTCCTAGTCTTCAGCACAAAAGCCAATACGACGTCGTCTCTTTCAACATCCAATTCTGGGAAAATTCTTTTCTGCGGTTTTTTTTCTTGCCACCAATTCCTCTCTTCGTCTTCTTCAATCCACCGCCGCCGCTAATGCTGTGGGGCATGACACGCCACCGCCCGTGCCCCTCGCCTCAGGTAATCATCAACTCTCTCTCTCTCTCTCTCTCTCTCTCTCTCTCTCTCTCTCTCTAATTAATACTAATAATAAGCAAGTAAAATATGTGTTAGGTAAAAAAAGAAAGAGTCTTTACATTTATAAAAAGGGAGTCTTTAATTTTCTCTTTGAATTGTTTGTATGCTTTAAAAATTCTATTTAGCATTTAAAAATTTGTTTGTTTGACAGGTACAAATAACGATCAACCAAGCCTTGTAAATGTATAACATGTGCTGATAGATTTGGATTCGGATGATAAACTGCCAACTCATCAAACTCGAAACCCTCCAGAAAGTACTCGTACAACGGTTCAAACATATCAAGAACTCTTGCTCGTTTTACCATGCACACCACCTGTTCGATGAAATTCCTAAGACAACGCTGGTTTCTGTTCACCGGTTCATGCTCAACCTCGTACGTCAAAATAGCCCGGGCGCAGCGCTCGGTGTTTTCAAGAAGCATTTTCAAATGGGTCTTTCCAGAATTGACGAAGTTGCGATTGCCATTGCTGCCAAGGCTTGTCTTGGGAGACCGAAACTCGGGTCTCAGATTCATGGCTTGGCTGTAGTTTCCGGTTTTATGGATTATCTTGCTGTGTGTAATTCTTTGATGAACGTGTACTGTAAGTCGCGTGATTTAAAGGGGGCTCTATGTATATTCGAGCACTTGAAGAACCCTGATACTGTTTCTTACAATACAGTGCTGTCTGGTTTTGGAGACAATAAAGAGGCGCTCCGTTTTGCGTGCGCAATGCATTCGTCTGGGATTGCATTTGATGCTGTAACGTGTACGACTGTGCTTGCACATTGTGCGCACGGTCAGGAGTTTGATTTCGGGTTTCAATTGCATTGCCTTGTTTCGAAGTTTGGCTTGAAGACGGAGATTTTCATTGCGAACGCACTAGTGACAATGTATTCGAAAAGTGGGAAAATCTCGGATGCTGGCAAGTTGTTCGACGAAATGCCCCACAGAGATTCGGTTTCTTGGAACGCAATTCTCTCGGGCTACGTTCAGGAGGGTGGTTGTGGATTTGAAGCCGTTTTGGGATTTATCGAGATGGTCAAACAAGGCATGAAGCTCGATCACGTCTCGTTGACCAGCGTAATTTCAGCTTGCGGGCAAGAGAGAATCTTGAATTCCGGTAAGCAGATTCATGCTCTGTCGGTGAAAACAGGGTACAGTACGCACGTTTCGGTTTGTAATGTTTTGATGTCCATGTATTCGAAGTGCGAGATTTTCGAAGACGCAAAACTGGTATTCGAGAATATTCATGATCCCAATGTAGTATCTTGGACAACAATGCTCTCCATAAACGACGAGGAAGCCGTGAACTTATTTAAAGAAATGATGAGGCACGAAATAAACCCGAATGAAGTTACATTCATCGGATTAATTCACGCCATTACAAAACACAGTATGGTGCAAGAAGGCTTAACGGTACACGGGTTTTGTATAAAGTCAAACTTTCTTTCCGAAATCAACGTTGCAAACAGCTTCATTACCATGTACGGTAAGTTTAAGATGGTGGAAGACTGTGTAAAGGTCTTCGAGGAACTCGATTACAGAGAGATAATATCGTGGAATGCTATGATAGCTGCTTATTCACTAAACGGGTTGTACCAAGAAGCTTTACAGGTGTTCCTTTCGGCTTTGAAAGAATTACAACCGAACCCTTACACATTCGGTAGTGTCTTGCACGCAATCGCCTCTTCGGAATCGATCTCTCTGAAACAGGGGCAAAGATGTCATTCCTGGATAAAAAAGCTCGGGCTGGACACAGATCCAATTGTCTCCGGTGCACTTCTTGACATGTACGCAAAACGTGGCAGCATATTCGAATCCGAAAAGATTTTTCACGAGTCAACGCAAAAAAGCCAAGTTTCCTGGACAGCTATAATATCAGCCCACTCGAGGCACGGGGCCCACGATTCAGTCATGAAGTATTTCAAGAATATGTTGACCGAAGGCGTGAAACCAGACGCAATCACGTTTCTCTCTGTTTTGACATCGTGCGGTCGAAATGGAATGGTTGATTTAGGAATTAAAATATTCAACTCGATGGTCGATGAATATTTTGTCGAGCCTTTTTCTGAGCATTATTCTTGTGTTGTGGATATGTTGGGCAGGGCGGGGCGGCTGCAGGAGGCCGAGGAATTTATGAGGAATATTCCAGGTGGGCCCGGAGTATCGGTGCTTCAAAGCTTGCTTGGGAATTGTAGAATTTACGGAGATGTGGAAATGGGAGTTAGGGTTTCGGATGCTTTGATTGAAATGGAGCCGGAAGAATCGGGTTCGTACGTTTTGATGTCGAATTTGTTTGCTGAGAAAGGGAAGTGGGATAAGGTTGCGAGAATTAGGACAATGATGAGGCGGAGGAGGGTGGTGAAGGAGGTGGGGTTTAGTTGGGCGGATGTTGGGAGCGGGGGCGAATCGGTAAATTTGCATGGGTTTTCGTCGGGTGACAAGTCTCATCCTTTGTCGAATGAGATTTATTACATGGCTGATTTGGTTGGATCGGAAATGAAAAGGAAAAGAGAGAGGATCTGTAACATTTGATTGATTTTTGTTCGATTATATGGATGAATTGAAGTAATTAGAAAATTGTATTTACTGATTTTATTTTTTGTCGATTCTTTCGGGCGAACTCTGTAGTCTGTAGTACCGAAAGGCTTGAAGATAAATTTACTGTTTGATCTTTGGCTTCAAACTTGGAACAATGTATTATACCATGTAATTCGAAATTTTCTACCTATTGTTTTGAAGATTTCATATTAATTTAGGACGGTGTCCCCGAATCAGAACCGACAAAAAAATATTATTTAAACGATGTTATTAATTATTTGAATTTTAAATTATCGAGGTTCAATGTAACAAAGATCTCACACAATCTTAAATCAATAGTGCCGAAAAGAAAATAAAAGGAAAACCAATTATGAATTCGTCCGTCGGAAAAAAAAATGTACTAAATACTAAAAAGGTTTAACTATGTTCCCATATTTACCGCAAAAACAAAGAGCATCTAACTCGTTCCATGCTCCAGCTAAAGGCGAACGTAGAATTCAGCCGATTCTTGATCCCTAAGCTGTTAGAAAAACCTATACAATTTATTCATGCCATGCTTGCGAATGCACAATTTGCCAACAAACGATCTGGCAAGTTGCGAAAAATAAAATAAAAAATAATAGTTATAATAACTACGCGCAAAACAGTTGGCGGCGTAATTCGGCGCAACGAATACGTTAAGATGGTTGAGCTTCTTTATTAGTTGTATCATCAGATCCTTTAGAAGAGTGCCTAAACCTAAATATACTATGGAGCTCAAGTGCTGCCATTCTTTGCTTAAGCTGCTCAATTTCACCGGCTAGTTCTTCGTCTCTTGCCCTCAGTACCTGTTGCGTATTCGATTGACGAAAAAAGATCAGTAAAATATTTATCAGGCTGAATAAAAATGACTTTTTCTTAAATGATAATTTGTTGTTAAAAAAATTGCGTTATCGAATGAAATTTTTGAAGAGCGTACCTCCAATATCTGCTTGCGAAGTTCCTCTTTTCTGGCTTCTGATCGGGAATTTCTTTGCACTTCGAAAACTATCAGTCCACCTGCAACCTAATAAGAAAACAAAGAGTTCATTAATTAATTAATAGTAGCCTAGGTATTTGGAAAAAAAAACAGAATATGAGCTTAAATTATACAAGAAAAATTGCAAAAGGAATCGTAATTAATATAGTTCGAATAAATGCATGGCCCTAGTTCGTCTAAAAGGATTGAAGAAGAAGGGATAAATTAGAGTCACGATGAAGGGGAAAATATTAAAATAATATAATAATCTTGTGCAAGTAATCATGAAATCCTCAATTCAAGATGCCTCGGTGAAGCTCGTTTAGTTTGACGAATAGGGGTTAAAGAAAACAATAAGTATGTTTAATGTATAAATTAATTCGACAAAAGTAGAACCACATAGTTGCGATAGATACAAAACTTACTACTATGGCATTTCATGTTAAAGTCACATTCACATGAAATTTACGGGTACTATTACCACCCTATAAGTATAATTTTCTTATTATCCGAAATAAATAAAAAATAAATAAAAAATACCGTGAATAAAAAGAGCTCCCCAAGAAGGTCTGCAGCAACCTGAACAGCTTTTTCTTCATTGAGAGGACGAATTTCAACATTTGTTGCACGGCTATATATACGTCTTTGCAAATTTGTCGTAAGACGATGATTTGCCTGTTACACAATTAGAGCAACCAATCGATCAAGTCACAAGCAAAATAAATAGAAAAATCAGAATATCGGAAAAAAAAAAATCATTAGATGTTAACGTTCATCAAAGCATTTTATTAAAAGTTTATGATCAAACATTTGTAGTTTAATCACTCGATAGAATTTTTTTCAATATAAATACACGCGTCACACGTTAAATAGAAGTACCGTACATTGACATCGAACGTGTTCAAAATTAGAAAAAAAACGGCACATGGTTGACTATTCACAGTGCCGTTTTCGACTCGGGCACTACAAGCACAACCAAACACCACTATCAGTCGGACGATGACTTCTACAATCGAAAATGAAATCTTACGTGTAGTAGATTGAAATATCGCATTCTTAATAATTTTATTATTAAATACGTTTCATGTATTCCAAGAACTGATCATACGAAAAAACTAGTCTCTTCTGCTCAAACAATCACTGCCCTTTTCTTTTTCCCCAATATATAACAGACTTGAATAATCAAATGTAATCAATTACTCTGTCAGACAAAACATCAAACACCTATCGTGCATTACTGGAGACGCATTACTCACTCATAATTAAACTAACCCTCCATCAAATGGGTGTTTTTGTTCTACACAATCGTGTAATTACAACTGTTCGAGCCATAAAAAAACGAAGAATTAGGGGGTGAAGAAGAATTTAACCTGGGCAATGTTGATGATGGTTTGTCGGAACTTGGGGTGAAAGCCAGCTTCTTTCTTGATGCGATTACCAATTGGTTTGCAGAGTGTTCTCAGCGCAAGTGTGCCGAGCTTAAACAATGGCAGTATCATTATTTTTTGAATTCTTGATAATTCACGCAGGGAAGAATCTCACTCTCGGCATTGATATTGATCAGAGGTGTTTGATGTTTTGCCAACTCCGGTGAATTTCTTAGGTTATTCATGGGCCAAGTTAACCGAGGAGGCCTATTAATTAATTATTTATTTTAGTTTTAAAATTAATAGGCCCAAAAAGTTACAAATTCCAATCAATTTAACACGCCTATAAATAAATAAAAATTCAATAAAGAAACTCGCAGCTAACTGTATAAATGCACTGGATAAATATACACTCTCCTATAATACTCGGCTCATATTATATAATATGTCTTTTTGGGGTGTTTCTTTTTTCCAAATTATTTGTCATTTTAGATTTTCAATAGCACTTTTATCTATTTTACCTCCTATCGCTCTTAATTATTTATCTCAAAAATTATTTTTGGTATAATTTATGCATATTTATTGACTATCTATTAGCGCAGCCTCCCAAAACGACATATAATATGGGACGGGAGGGAGTAGGTTGCAACATATATAAGAGACGTAAAACCACTATAGGCTAACCATATGTAACGAACTCGGCCTAGCGACCGTTGGCAAGGTGATTCGAATTTGAGTCAGTTGATACAAGTTCAGTTGCTCCAACTATTACAATCTTTGATTCATTACATGAGGTACATGATTAATTATTGGGGCAGTTAGTCCTAATTGTATCAATAGTAAAACTCGTATGGTTATAAGATTTTGATTAAAAGTCAATCGGGCATCGTTTACGTTTACAACATTAAAAATCACCGTCCTAACAAGAATGCGTTCTTACTTATTTTCTGATCGATTATTGTATAGATTGTAGCTAATGACTTTAACTTTATCTACCCAAGTTGAATTAGATTGATTTGTAATCAGAATCTCACTAAATTTTGCTCGTTGCAATCGCATCAAGGATATATTATACTTACCCATTTCGATTTTGTTTGTCATTTTAGAGAAATAATTTATTCAAATTATGTGTCACTTAAATAGAGGTTTAGAGGCATCAACGTAACCTCTCTACTTGGATCCTCGCGAGGCTCGCCATATCCTTGGTGATCTTGTCCATGTGCACCGGTCGACCAATCTTTTGAGCAATCATGCTTAATGACTTCTGGTTGTACAACTAGATGTTGCGGATCAACACCCACACCGGGACAAAACACATCTCATTTATGTCAGAGTTGAAAATTTTCGGCATGGACCCCCCATTTCTTTCGAATATCACCACTGGCATCTTTGCCCGGAAATTTCCCCAGAAAGTACTCCACGACAAGGAAGATACCCTTCGCCTCCAAAATCTCAACGTTATCATCCCCAAACCTTAACACATCCGAGTCATCAAGCCATACAACTGGATCAAGGGCAAGTTCTTTTGATGGTGTGTGCTTGTCCTTGAAAAACTGAGTCCACTCCATCGTCTTTTTTTATGGTAGCCATGGCCTCCCAAAATCTCACCAAGTTTTGCTCGTCGCAATCGCATTAAGTAATAGTTTCGCATCATGGAAATAGTTTCTGCAATAATGATTATCAAGTCGGATTAAATTACTCAATCGAAGGGGGAAATTATCAACTCAATCAAATGGCGAAATCAAGTGTTAAATTTTAGTGTCATAGATTGAAATATATGTAATATAGATAATGTTAGTTCAAAACACCGATGGCCGTTTTTCACAAAATTAAGACCGCGTCGAAAAATAGTACTCTGAAATTCTATTCTCGTCAAAAAAATGTATAAATTTCCTCGTTTCATTTGTTAGGATTTGTAACCACATGCATTAAAAACACATTTTTGATAGGATGAAAATGAATTGTGTTACAAACCAACACTCCTAATTGGTGCATTCATCAATTAAGAAAATTATTAACCAAAAAAAATAATTAATTAAGTTTTACTTATCCTAAAATTAAACAATTTGAAACATTCTTGCCCGGAGCCTATGGTAGAGGGCCAATCAACACCACCACTTCCATGTGTTAACCGATGCACCTATTTAGCCAAAACAATTACTAAAAATAACATATCTTTAAATCTATAAATTAAAGCCAAATAATGAAATAATATTCATCCAATAACTTAATTTCATTTTCTAAGTATACAAAGAAAATCCCTAAAATCAAGAAAAATGGCAAACCAAGGTCACCCCAACAACACCTTCAATGCTGGACAAGATATGAATCAAGCTCAGGTTAGTTTTTTTTATGAACATTAATTACAGTAGAACCTCGATAAATTAATAATCTCGTTTAAATATATATTTTTTTTAAATTAATATTTCACTGAATTAATAAACATCTGGTCCCGACAATATTAATTTATAGAGATTTAACTGTATTTGTATCATGAAATTTAAAATAAACCTGGCTTATAGTTACTTCTCGAGATTTATTTGTAAATTTATATTTGGCGAATATTTGGTGTGATTTGCACACATGTGTTTTTGTTTTGCTAATATTAATATTATTAGTAGGGTTTTTTTAGCAATTTGATATATTATAATATTTGTTTTTTTTTTTTATAATTCATTGAAAAATAAATTAACTGCAGATGACAAGGAATGAACCATCTGATATCCATAGCCAAGCCCAAGCCACCAACTTCTTTCAAGAGGTATACAAAATCTTGAAATTAATCTTTCCCTTTTCATTCAATTTAATTACTTTTTTTTTTCATTTCATATATATATAACTCAAAATTCTCTTATTTTCTCAATTTTCTGAAAGTAAATACAAACTCTAATAAAATGTGCCTTGATCATAATTTTATTTGTTTTCATACGAAAGACCGGTACAAACGTTAAGAACATGGCACACAGTGCGGTGAACATAGCCGAGGGAGCTGTAACTGGAGCGGCTAACGTGGCCCACGGGGCGGCAGATGTGCTCAAAAATACTCTAGGGATGAATTCTTCAGGCGGCACCACCACCACGAATCATTCCGGTGGAACCACTAATTATCCAAGCAGCACTAACCATCCAAGCAACCCTAGCTAATAATACCAGGATTTGAAATAACTTCATGAATTGTTTTGTGTTCTTTTCTTGCAATTTATTTTCTAATTACCCTTTTTTTTTTTTTTTTTTTTTGCATTGTCCGAATAAGAGAGAATATTGAGTTATTTTTTTATATTTATCATGTTACATTTAAACTATTTGAAAAATAAAAATTTTCGAAAAATACAAGTAATTGCTAGCTTACTAAGACCTCGTTCGTTTACATATATTGAATTAGATTACTTTGGATTAAATCCCTAATGATTAAATAAGTATTTAGTTCATAACGTATTTGGTTTCTTCGATTAAATCTTATATTAAATTTGTTAGATTCTAGTAATTGTCTATAAAGTCTCTTATTTAACAAAATTAAGATATTAGTTTAAGGATAAAATTGTAATTTCCTTTTTTAATCACCCCTACAAAATTATAAGGAGAGGGATATTACTAATTTTATGAAATAACATTTAATGGCAGACTTTTACTTTAGCTGTCACTTGAGCAATATCAAAATTTACCGACAAACACCTTACTAACTTTTGCTATTCAGTCATTCTAATACTCCCTCTGTTCCACAATAACTGTCTCTTTTTAAAATTATTTTTGTTCCATATTATCTGTCACTTTACATTTCCAATACTGCATTAATTGTGTAATTATTAATTTTACCCTTATTAACCATCTTCAACAGTCTCTCACATTAAGTATTGGCAAGGGCATTTTAGTATAAGAACATATATTTTTCTAAAATTAAGCAACATTTATCGAGATCTTTAATCCTTGTGCACAAGCTAAAAACGACAATTATATAGGAACGGAGGAAGTATAATAATAGCAGACAGACAAGACTTAAGTAGTAATGACTAATGATAATAGTAATTGTTAACTTCCCTTTTTACTATTTTACCAGCAACCTTTGGGAATACCTTTTATTGGTAAAACTTGGAAATGAACAAAAAACTTTAAAATAAAATTACTTTGAAAGTGACAAGTGACATTAAAATAAAATATATTAAAAGAAAGAGCCATTAGATGTGGCCCATAATACACAAAATACTCCCAATTTTTTAAAAAAAAACAACAATAAATTAAAAAAATGAATCCCACATTATATTTGTCCAAATGGCGCTTCTTTTTCCCGCCAATGAACAATATTTTAAGCTTCTTTGATTGTCAAGATGAGATTAGTCAAGATAAAACGAGGTCTAAGGTTAATAAACTAAAAATGCTTATAGATTGATAAATTTTTTCACTATTCACAAATTAGCCACTAATGATAATCAACTTTCATTTTTTGGACCGATTAATTTAATATTATTTCAAACTAACCCCTAATAAATTAGAAAAAAATATAATAACATCCCCGACACATGTATGGGTTAATTGGTATATTTGAAATATATATTTCATGGTTTTTTTTATAGGTGCTTCATTATATATATTATATATAGGGTCTAATTTTCGAGCTTTACTTCCTCAAATATTTAAATTAAATTAAATGCCATCTTCAAAATGTTAATTTTGTTGGACATTGCTCCATAGCAAACTTTCAATGGATATTCCTCGGAAATTAGTGTTTTCGTTGCACGTTGCCCCTTTAAAAGTTATTTTTGTTGAAAGTAGTCATTGAAAAATAGGGTAAATTACGGCCACCCTCAACTATGTATTATCTTACGAAAAAATCCGTCCAAATGTAAATTTAGGGATGTTATATCGGTAAAATCGAACCAAAATTTCAGTACGCCCAACATTTCATACCGCTTACCGAACTGAATATACGATTTGGTTCGGTAAATAACCAAATTACATAAATTTTATGTAAAAATATTTAAAAGCAGGGGGTGGCTGTAATTACCCAAATAAGAGGGTTTTTTCGTAATTTGGCCATACCTCAGGGGGCGGCCGTAATTTGCCCTTAAAAATATTATTTTCTGCATATTGCCTTCTTAAAATGATTTTTATTGCACGATGCCCACCAAAAATTAAATGTATGGGCACAGTGCAAGCAAAACAATATTTCGAGGGGGGTTATCCCTTTTTTGAATTTCTAGGGAGGAAAGTGCGAAAATAAAAAAAGTTATAGGGGGGTGGAGCTACATTTTGTCCAAAAATATAAGGTAAATTCCACTTTCCCCCCTGTACTTTGGCTCGATATCACTTTACCCCTTCTACTCTCAATTGCATTGATTTGCCCCTAGTACTCTGGCTCGATATCACTTTACCCCCTTCTACTCTCGATTTGCCCCCTTATACTTTGGCTTGATAACATTTTACCCCCTTCTACTCTCAATTGCATCGATTTACTCCATGTACTCGAAAAATTGTCTCAATGTGGCCCTTGTATTTTATCCCCTGTACTGGCTCAATATATTTTTGTGTAAATTCCACTTTCCCCTTGTACTTTGGCTCGATATTACTTTACCCCTTCTACTCTCAATTGCATCGATTTGCCCCCTTGTACTTTGGTTCGATATCACTTTACCCTCTTCCACTCTCGATTTGCCACCTTGTACTTTGGTTTGATATCACTTTACCCCATTCTACTCTCAATTGCATCGATTTACCCCATATACTTGAAAAATTGTCTCAATATGGCCCTTGTACTTTACCCCCTGTACTGGCTCAATATATTTTTGTGTAAATTCCACTTTCCCCCTTGTACTTTGGCTCGATATCACTTTACCCCTTCTACTCTCAATTGCATCGATTTGCCCCCTTGTACTTTGACTCGATATCACTTTACCCTCTTCTACTCTCGATTTGCCCCCTTGTACTTTGACTTGATATCACTTTATCCCCTTCTACTCTCAATTGCATCGATTTGCCCCCCTTTACTTGAAAAATTGTCTCAATGTGGCCCTCGCCACTAGTTTTCACCCCTCAAGTTTGAATAATTATTAAAAATAAATAAAAAAAGTTCAAGACAGCGAGAAAACATAGTCAACGACGCCAGCCACAATTTTTTTTTTTAATTTTTTTTAATAATTATTTAGACTGGGAGGGGTGATTTTTTTGTAATTTTCGAACTTAGATTAAACAGTGTTAAGGTCAAAGGTGTGAAAACTAACGACGATGACCACATTGAGACAATTTAACATGGGGGCAAATCGATGTAATTGAGAGTAGAATGGGGTAAAGAGATATCGAGCATAAGTACTAGGGGATAAGTCGATGCAATTGAGAGTAGAAGGGGGTAAAGTGATATTGAGACAGAGTATAATGGGACAAATTGAAACAATTGAGAGTAGAAGAAGTTAAAGTGTTATCGAGGCAAAATATAAGGGAGAAAGTGGAATTTAGACAAATATATTGTATCAAAAAACATCCAAACCCACTTTAACGGCTCCAGTAACGGTTCTGTCGGAATAAGAGGTCCACGACATCAACGGTGAACCGTCGCCACAGTCAATCAAGTCCCACTCCCCGTCTCTAATCTTCATTCAAGTCAAGACACTTTGACGTGACTGACGTCCACTGTTAAATTACCACCGTCAATGGCGCACGTTAGCCAAAAGCATTATAATAATAATAATAATAATAATAATAATAATAATAATATAATCCAACATAAAAATTTGCAGCAGCTCCATCGTACCCTACACTCTTCCCTCCTACAAGGAAAAAGTAAATAAATAAATAAATTAAAAGCAGTGTGATATATCTCAGTGAAACCCAGCTACCGATACATACACACACACACACAATCATTCTCTCTCTCTGATACGGGCTTGTTTGACAATTAACAAATAAACATAAGCCCATTAGGATAAGCCCAATACGATAGGCCCATAATGAAGAACCCATGATGTCTTAGCTCGGTACCGTGAGCGAAGTCGTCGTATGGCGCGAACTCCGGAACTACGTGGGAGTACCTTAACTCGCTAGCCTAATACCAAAACGAGGTAAGGCGAGCCCAGGACAATACAGGCCCAAGATACATGACTTGGGGGAAAAGAGAAACCCTAAAAAAGGAAAGCCTTGGAGGCCAAGCTTTCCTCATCTATAAATAAGAGAATCAACACACACACAAAGGGATGGGATTTTTTACACTAATCATTATTATATTGTATATACATTTTCTCTCCTATTCCGATCACTGACTTGATCGTCGGAGCTTTCTCGCCGGGAACCCCTCCCGGCGTTGCAGGTTTATTCATCCGGAGTACGGACGGAGCTGGCTTGAGGAAGACGAAGACCTACGGACTAAATCAAGTGGCGCCGTCTGTGGGAAAATCTTGAAGTTTTGGGAAAACAGCTTCCGGGAAAAATCAGATCTACCCCCGGAAGTCCAGATCTGAGCTAAGAACGTGGAGAAAAAATGGAAGGAGAAGACACGGTTACCCGAAACCTACAGAAGGAGCTGGAAGCAGCAGCTCACGATACACCTGGCGTTGATCCGCCGCCTGCCTCGAGGGAGAAGTCCGGGTACAGCCTGCTCACGCCCGAGAAAGAGAGACGAGTCCCTCTCTTTTCAGGAAGCCCTTCTTTTGAATTTCAGAGCGCTGGAGCTGCTTCGAAAAGACCGGCTGCAGCACCGGCTCCACCCCCTGATGAGCGCACGTACACCCGAGATGAAGTAGAAGTCATGATCACCACGGCCATCCGCAATTACGCCCAATCCTTACCTCAGGATAACCGACCCAAAAGGGACCTGAGACGCTCTCTGAACGAGGGGCGAACTGATGATGAAGGCGACAGTTATTCGGAAAATCGAGGAGGCGACAGTCATGGAGTCAGGACCGAAGTAGACAGCCTGAGACGTGATATGAACGAATTAAAGGCCTTACGGAACAGGTCAATGCGAGATCTCGTGGGGTCTAGCCCTTTCGCAAAACACCTCGATGACGATCCCATACCCGCTAGCTACCGACCCATTTCGTTCGAGTACAATGGCACATCGGATCCCGCCGAACACCTAAGCCGTTTCAACAATACGGCATCACTTCATCAGCTCACGGAAGGGGTGAGATGTCGTGCCTTCGCCACCACCCTAGCCGGGCCTGCGCAGGCCTGGTTCGGTTTGTTACCTTCCGGGAGCATGCAATCTTTCGAACAATTTGCTAAGGCCTTCATGAACCAGTTCGCCAGCTCGAAAAAGTGCAAGAAAACCTCCCTATCGTTGTTCAGCATCCGCCAGAAGGAGAAGGAAAGCCTCAGGAGTTACATCAAACGGTTTACCTCGGCCACCCTGGAAGTCCCGACT